CCATTGGCCACCGTCCAGCGTCCATAACGGCATTAATTAATGCCACCAGATGGCACTCGCAGGTGGAGTACATCACTATCAAAACTAGCTTCAGCTACGCAACATTTGTGGAAAACAAGCTTAATTGCTCTTGTATTTGATATGAAAACAATACGCGGTTTTTTGTCCCATTACGCTACGTAAATATTTCGTAGCGTACCTAAATATGAGAATAAAATGTTTTTAAACAAAGCGATATTCAGTTCATTTCGTTATTGGTTATGCAGAAACGAATTAAGCAAATTAAACATGAAGTAATCTTTCATTTAATAAATCGGTCATAGTACGTCCCGCCGCGGTCCGCGAGGGTAGATCAATCAAACGTTTCCATACTAATCACAGTCCACTGCTACACCAATTTATCACAACACGCCCTAAGCAGAATCAATATTTTAATCTATACGAGAAGCGGACGCATCAGTCGGGATGAATGTTAAAGGACATTTAAAAACATGATTGATTGCTTTTGTATGCTAAAACGATAAAAATTTATTGTCCCATACTGATACTTGCATTATTTTGATACAAATATTGTATTCTTTATTTCCATTGTCATACATAACTTAAAATCCTGCTTATATACAAACAAACGGACAAGACTTATTAATAATTTGCAATATACATATTACTCTACTAGCTATCCGCCCGCAGCTTCGCCCGCGTGGAGTTCGGTTATATCGCGTTTCCAAGAGAACCTTTCAATAGTCTGGGATAATAACTATCCTTTGTTCTTTCTCAAGGTCAACTCCATGTCTGTACCAAATTTCATTAAAATCAGTTCAATAGTTTAGGCGTGAAAGCATAACAGACAGACAGACAGAGTTACTTCCGCATTTATAATATTAGTAGGGATAGCATGAGATTAGTACATTAAATTTAATATAGCTATATAACTAAGATCAGGCCCTGCCGACTAATAGTCTGGTAGAATTCTCCGAAGGTAATTGGCCTCGAATTGTGATCTCGAGCTAGACTGTTGTAATTAAGATGAAATATATATTAATGATATTGATTTTATATTAAAAAGTTCAAAGCCCTATACAGTTACTAAAATACAAAGAAAAATACACCTTAGATATATATAAATTAAGTATAATCTTAGGAAATTCAATAATTATATATTAATAGTCATTTATTCAACTTGCTTTGATTGCTGCTTATTCTAACAGTTTTCGGCAACAAATTGTTTAGTGTGATGGAACATTGCCAGGTTATTTTAAGTAAAATTTAAACTTTAAAACTATCGCATGAAAAATTTCCAAACTCGCAACTTTTATTGTATCAAACTTTAGAAAGGCGTTGTACTTATCTCACAGGCTGATAAATTATTAAAGTAAATTAAGCCATTTTGTAGATTAATGATCTTCAATCTTATTAGCATATAATATTATACTTTATTATTAAAGAATGGGATAAAACCAACACGTAATTCAGGAATAACTTCATTTCCGTTCCGTTACCGCGGTATCAGCTTTTGGTCCATTATCCTCAGCAATTCGGGTTCAGGGACAGTACGATTGGGGAAAACATACAATTAACGGCATCGTCTTAATCGGTTCGTTACATATGGCAGTTGAACGTAAAATTTTCACGCTACATTACCTCCACCGACCACTTTAGTTAATGCTCCAAAGATATGAGAATATTACCTTCATTATTGTTATATACATGCTTAATGGAATCATATTCTTTACATCCCTTCTACTATGTCCTTTTTAATCGGTAAAAATCGGCTTTTATATCTAATATATAAAATTCTCGTGTCACAGTTTTCGTGCCCATACTCCTCCGAAACAACCTGACCGATTTTGATGAAATTTTTTGTGCTTATTCGGTAGCTATGAGAATCGGCCAACATCTATTTTTCATCCCCCTAAATGTTAGGGGTAGTCCACCCCTACATTTTTTATTTTTATTTTTTAGACAAAATTTTTAATTACTATTTTTTTATGATACAACGTACAAAAATACATACAATCCTAAATTTTCACCCTTCTACGATCAACCCTTATTTTTTAATAGCTATTTTAGTAATTTAATCATTTTTCATCTCCGGTCGATAACTGATCAATCGTCATTTAATAAGTTATCCCCGCCAGATATCTACAGGTGTCACTTCTGACCCAGTAAACAGCACGGAGTAGGGATGAGAACGAATCCGGTCTTCTGTTTCTCTCACACAATTAGACTTCTCTCACTCCCTACACAGTTGTCGGCCATCGTTATTGTTTGTGCATCAAGTGTAGTAGTAACGTTGACAATTATTATTTTGCTAGCTCAGTGTAACTCTCATATTAACTATTAATCATTCCTAATCGCTTCAAAACACGGAGATTTATGGCTTTAATAGGTAAACTCCAAAAATATAAATAAAAAAACGTAACAGATATTTCTTGATTATAGGGCGAAACGAAGTTCGCCGGGTCTTCTAGTTTCATATAAAAATCGGAATATCTATATTTTCTTGTCACGATGACTAAGACTTTAAGATTGGTACTCAAACCTCACAAATTAAAATATATATTTAAGTAAGAAGCCTTCAAAAGCAATTTTTTTTATGTTGAATAGTAATACAGTAGTTTTATGTATAATACTATTTATTCGTTTTTCTCACACCCTTTGTCCTGATCGTCATCTGGTAATTTTGATCCAGAGTCTCTATCCAACAAGAGGAACATGAAAAACAAACTCGACACAGCTATCCATACGATGAGACAATTTTCTTCTAGCGTCCACACTATATATGAAGCCAGATTCATCACGTTATCTAGAATATTCTTCAGAACAGAAGTCTCCAATTCCATAAATCTTTATCTTTTTAACAGTCAGATACTTCTTTATTTAGTGGCGTTTCCTTGTAGATTCCGCCAATGTAATGTACCAATATTATGCTGAACTATGTAAAAAAGGATTTATTGAGCAGTCACGACTAGAAGCTAAGAACTTTGATACTGTTGAGAGAAAATAAATTTTACACGCATCTATTAATATGACATAACATCGAATGACAACAGATAAGCTATAATGTTATTAAAATGACAGAAACAATTAATATTTGTAGATAATAAAATTGTATTTCATCAAAAATAATCAAGTATCAATTATATTATGTTATTTTGGACAATACTGTCTTTGTATGGTTTTTGTTACAATAATATGAAGAGAATCTTTGGCCAGCTATTCGCAGACGCTTGATACATTAATTTAAATGAAACCTTCCTTTTATAGACTTTCTAATATATCTTTTAATATTAATACAAGCATGTTAAACCTCAATGTTCAAAATGAATCCTGTATTGTGACAAAATCATAGGTGACTGGTAATTCGTTTCTCGTTAATGTCAAATTTCTTCAAGTTATTTTGTAAAAACGTCGACATTGTCAAAATATTCCACAATCTCAGTGCGAATGAAGCCATTGCAATATATATAATAAGATATAAATATTGTTAAATTCAAATTCGTCTCTATGATACAGAATAAGTTATTGTAAAAACATTACATATTCTTTAAGTCTTAAAGCTCTTTTTAGAATAAAAAAATAATATTTTAATGACAACATATATGATGGAGAAAACTTCCAATGTTCAACCTAATGACTCCCTCTACTTACAAATTAATTTAGCTCGAATAAGCGACTTAAGATATTAATTCCAACTTTAATCAAAAATCGGTAAATATAGAAATAAAAGTATGAATAAGTTTTATATATTTTTGAATAACAAAATCCTGTTCGCCAGTTATATAGTTTTAGGATCCAAATTAACTAGATTTACGCCAACTCTTTATCGTCTCAATTCCTATAGCCGACGCTCTCGCAGAAAATTTGCATTAATTTAAATGAGAGCGTTCCGTCTCTAAAGTCTACTTATATACGACATTTACGTTTTAATGATTAAGTTTTATACTTTAGAATCACACGAGGAAAATACAGGCTCAAAAGAAAGGACTCCAGGTAATGTGTGAATGATGTATAAAAGAAAGTTGTGTTAGTTACACTATTTATAACTCAAGAACGGTTGTACGGATATGGTCGAAAATCGGTAAGGAGGTAGATTAGAACCAGAAGACGGACATAGAATATTTAATTCTGAAAAAAAAAACTTAATAAATTCCAATATTTGGTTATTTATGGCGTATAGAGCAGAATAGAATTTTCCCAGTCAGCTATACACATATTACTAATTCAAAAATTAACGCGGACGAAGTCGCGGACAAAAACTAGTATATAGAATGTTGAATGAGCTTCCGAGATATGAAACTTAAATCTTCTTCACCGAACAGAAATGATCAAAAAATTACTTCCTACATCCCCATCGAGGGTCGTTATAATTGCTCCGCTGCACCTTAATACGTATTTAGTCGCACCAAAATTGTTTTGAAAGCCTCTCTGTAAGATTCTATCAAAATTGCTTTCTGAATAGGGATTTATATATTGATAACCTGTCGCTAAAGATTTCGATCGATGTTTAGTTTCAGAGACCAAGTAAGAGGAATAAAACAGAAAAATAATACTTATTATTCTATATAGGAATAATAAAAAGATTTAGGGTGTCACATTATGCGGGAAAAGGTTCAAGTGTTTTCAAGTATCAGATTGGGGAAGTTTTGAAATGCTTTTGACAGGAACCGAAACGTTTGGAAACAAAGTTTTGCTATTGAAAAGATGGGAACGTGTTTTTTTCGTTTTGTCTCACCATCTGTCTGGGAAGTAATGTCTTAAAAGTTATTTAATATAAGGATCGATATTTGAATATTTAAACGGATATTTTATATCAAAATTAAATATTAAAATGTTTGATGTATTTAAGACGAAAAAATATAGAGTAAAAATAATATATAGAAGAATATTATCATAAAATTAATATACAAAAAATTGTAGTTCCTAAATTAAGAGTATAAAAGTTAGTTAAAAAATAAACAAAAAGTATGAATAAATATTTTGTTATAAGCGCCACCTACCTTATCTCCGTCGAACTTCTCCGACTCGTCAACACAGGTTCTGAAGTCGTGTTTCTCTCTTGATCCGCGGCGCGCCACTAGCGGCGTCTGTGGCGGGGACAACGCCAGACTGTTCCTAGCACTGCCAGATGGCGACTTTATAAACTCGATTTTACCGCCCTCCACGCAAATATTCGGAGTAAGGGGATACATCGGCGACATCGCGACATTGGCGTTAGCTAGGTGGTTGTACATCTGATTGTCTTCTAGAGGAAGGGACTTTGGCTTGCCGTTCTTTCGATATGAAGAGTCATAGGCTAATACTTGGTTTTTTTGTTCAGGATGAACCTGCCGCACCTTGCCGGGAGGTCGGTCGGGTGGTTCTGGAGAAACACTGCCGTCTGTTCCAGGACTATCATTCCTGTCATTGTTTGATATTCTGAAACAAAGAAAAATATAACCAGTTAATATTAGTTGAAATAAGACCTACAGGGAAAGAAATCAATGTCGGTAAAATAAAAACAAATTTTAAATAGTTAATATAAGATCGAGATAAAATTAAAGTATTTTAAATATTTGTGACGTTATAAAAACTGAAGCAAATGCTAACAACTTGAAATACCTAGATTATGTCATCAGAATGATAGTAAATTTACATGAACTTAAAACTTTATTAGAAACCAAACATTCAAAATTTCTCGATAGATGGCGCTGTTCGCAGAAGGTTAAACTGTAAAGTAAAATCGTAAAGAGTCTTTTATTTAAAAAAAAAAGTAGTTTAGTTTATTATTTTAAATAAAAAAACATGTTTAAAATAAAGCAACAAGAAAATAAAATCATAAAAAAGTAAAAAGTCGTAGAAAAATCTAAAGTTGCTCACTTGGATTCGAACGCAACACACTTCAGCGTCGAGTTCTGAATCGCGCTATCAGTATTTTGTAGCTCGCTGACTATATATACGGTTGAGAACGCTCGTTGTTCGGAAGTGTATTCTTTAGTGTGATGCCACTACTGTACTTAGATCACTAGCTCCTCGTTAGCAGGTCTATCAGCACGTGACGTCACGCGCTCGTTGTCAGGCTACGCTTCTTGTAACGTGCGCTGCGGACGATCGCCCGCGCGGCTGCGACGGCCCGGCGGCGCACTTTCCTTGGGCGGCCTCTCCCTAAACCTTACGCGGTTTTAGTTAACTCGTTAGCTTAGCTCCGGTTTAATCTCGAGCACTTCCATACTATGGCGGCGAGAGCAATACTCGAATGCCAGCTTTTTTGACAAATTTACAATATTATTTTGTATAGAACACATCCCATATTTTATTTTTGTTCTTTTCGTCATGTCAGCCTTTACTAACAACATAAATTTACTATGGCTCATTTTAAATATTTATTTTTCCCACTAGAAGCAACGAAGTTTGACATTATCTTGATTTGAAGAACAAATATTTGTGAAGTAATCTTTTTAAATAGACTCTTGAAGAGTATCCACATTTGGCTTCCTTTGTTTGTTGCGAGCTGTCTTACTTCAGTAATTGCTTTCTCGTGGTAGTTTTACAAGAAAGAGATCATCAAGAATCATTTGTTTGTAGTCACGTCTATTTAGTTCATTTCTAAATACGTCCGAAAGGAAGGAAGCTTTCTTATGTGTTACAAAACATACTAAGTACGCGATGGAAGCATAGGAAATAGAACTCTATCGTTTGAGGATATAGTTAATTTTCCCAAAACTGAATGCCTTGAATGCTCTTCCACGGCAATATTTTCGTCACCTTGCCTCTTCTTTTTAACATTTCATGTGTGACCACACTATGTTTAGATTTCAGAATTGAAAAATATAAAGATTCCATTGCTAGGTCTCGTCCTATTGAACGTACTTGTAAATGAAAGTTTAATTTATATTATCAATTATTAAGAAATGAGTACAACGAATATTTTATAAACGATAAAACTACTTTAATTGAATGTTTTTTTTTATGATTAATTGATAGTGAGTCCTAAAAATAATTTCCTACCTATATCAATTAACATATTTCGTGATGCGTTACAAGTTACTTCAAGCCGTGACAGTTGACTGATAAAAAACTCAAATGACACATCAAAGAGAAACACCGTTCTGAAACCGCTTCCTATATGTAAAAAAGATCTTTTTCTAATAATATAATACTTTTTTATATTTTCAGATATACTTTCAATACTAGTAGGAACATTTTTTATAGATACTGTCAAGAATGAAATAATGTATTAGTATTTTAAATGTTATTTAGTTATAGTTTGAAGAGTCAAGTCAAAAAATAGGCATAGATACTCATCAAACGCAGTCCGGTAGGTTTAATCAAGTCAATAATATTTCACCAGAAGTAATATCTGAAGTCTGCTCATCCCTACAGTAGAGTGGTGCTTGCTTTGTGCTCAAACCTGTTAGAAGCTTACAAAGAATATTTCATACATTTCAGTATTTCGTTTTAATTTTTTAATTTAAAATTGAGCACCACTCATTTAATTGATTGGTGAGTAATATATTTAGGCAGAGTGTATTATGCATCTAAGTTACATGTCAATTATATGTATAAAACTACCACAATGAAGTATTTACCATCCATACATGTGAAGCGAGTCGCATGTAAAGGCTAGTAACAATTGTAAAATTAATAATAATTTATGACTGGCAACTCCAGCCGCACCTTAGTTTATGTGATATTCGCGTGACAAACCTACATCCATTTAATTTATGAACCCGTACGTTACTAGTTAAAGTTAATTTCAAAGGGTTTTAGTTATTGCTAAACTAGAAAACTATTTACTGCCAATTGACCTACAAAGAGTATATAAGAGGCGTTTAGTCATTTTGAATTTTTGTAATAAATAACAATCCTCTTTAGGTAATACAGGAAATAATATGCAAGGGTATGAGAAATATTTAATTTATACAACAAAAATAAATCTAAATAAAGTTAAAATGGAACCCCTACCATAGTAAATATATTATATTAGCTCAGAAACTTTAATTATCACCATTTTTTCTTAAAATAAACAAAACTTTTTTATATATTTGAAAACCGAATTGATTTCCAACATTTTTAATCTGTATGAAGCTTCATTTGACGTGACGTTGACATATAAAATTTGAAGAGTGATTTGTGTTTTATTTCAGTGAATGAAATAAACATCACTATTTTGATGTGAACAATACTAATAAGTATGGCATTTCTAACAAACTTTAATACAAATATTAACTGAAATAATTCCCATATTCACAGAATTCTAAAACATCAAAATATAAAGTAGAAAACAATAATCGTCAATTTGAATAATTTGTGTTATGTACATAACAGAAAATTTTAATGTAATAACTTGTTAAACATCAGCAAATATGCATATTATTTACAAATAAATTATTCAGACAATATATTTGTATTACAATTTATAGATATGACTTTGAAAAACTTTTTATGTACCTATTGTTATCGTATGTGTCAATCATCCCTACTAATATTATAAATGCGAAAGTAACTCTGTCTGTCTGTCTGTCTGTCTGCTACGCTTTCACGCCTAAACCACTGAACTGATTTTAATGAAATTCGGTACAGAGATAGAGTTGACCTTGAGAAAGAACATAGGATAGTTTTTATCCCAGACTTTTGAAAGGTTCTCTTGGAAACGCGATATAACCGAACTCCACGCGGCGAAGCTGCGGGCGGAAAGCTAGTTGTATTATAAAAGACGAATCCTCTATAACTATTGTGTATTGTCTAACGGTAAATTTTTATGTTTACAAACTTAAACTTGTTTATATATCACGACATATAAAATAATATTTTAACCTTTATTGTGTAAGATCAGGAATATTGCGAACATAATTAGAATAGCAATAGAAGGATATTTTTAATAGTGAATTTATTCGTCACGGATCGTTTCCGACATGTCGTATCCGTGTCGTGTGGTGTAAATGTTTCTGGGTAACTTGCGTAAGGCAATTCAATATGGATATCGCACAGAAATGCCGTAACTGAACCCATTGTGGTATTTTGATCGACATCTTTATACCGCTGATTATTTTGTACGTGACCCACTGTTGGAATTGTCTCATGAATTTTTATATAAACAATGCGATCGCATATCTTTATATAGGCGACTGTAAAGGGAATATAACTGTTATTCGAGCAAATTTTTTAAGTTATTATGATCAAAAGACGTCACTGATTGTGTAAAAACATTGAAAATATTAAGTTTTTCTACATATTTCACGTTTTAAAACATTATTTAGAATTAAACATTGAATTTAACTTTGATTTTAGACTGATTTTTCATTGTTATAAAAAACGTAAAGCTCGTATTACCTTATACACATCTTAAGAGAGTATATTAAATATTTTTTCCGCATCATATTATAAAGTTCTAAATAACGCTCATGAACGCAATGTTATGGTTAATTGCGAACAGTTCATTGAACTTGAATCATTAAAAATATTTGAGAGGCTATTTAAATCATCAGCTAATGGATGCTGGAAATATCATTAATAATACACGTATCAGAGGTCGGATAAATTTGGTAATCATAATCAAGGATATCTATAAGATATAGCTTTGAAAATATGTATCAGGTATTTACTCGTTTTAACAAAAGCGACTGTTTCTGTGTCTATTATATAAGCAAAGGAATTACTTTATATGTATATAAGTCTACTGTATGTATGTATGTTATTAAACTCCTAAGCTGGAACGATTTGAGTGATTTTTGTATGCATTTTGATATCGCCCAAAATTGTTTAGAGTCTAAAATCACTTAATATAGATTAGATTATTAAAAATTTAATGAAACGTCGCTACTTATATCTATGTATTCTTTTAACACTTTATACATGCCTACATTTCTCTCTGAGCACAATTCCGTTGTTCACACGGACGTAGCCGCGGGCGTGAACTAGTATAATATATATACAATCAATGAATGAGATACAAACATCAACAATTGTATCAAAACATACAGACAGACACATTGACAGTTGAATAGGATCGAACCAAACATTCTCACGGCGAGATAAAGAACTCGGCATTGTTCTTAACGTTTTTGGATTGACAATAAAAGTGCAATCATTACATAACATCTACATCCAAATAAAATATACTTTAGATATAATATGGATTTATTATAGTCAATAAATTTGTTGGTTTCTTGGAAATTTTTACCGATTTTCATTCAAGTTTCCAACGCATCTACAACACCCATTATGTTACAGATGTCGGGGACATGGTGACTTCTTACCAGGAGGTAGACCGTCTGCCCGTTTGCACTTTTATTTAATATAAAAAAAATTCAATAATAGACTATAATTTACGCAGATTTACGGGTGAAAAACTTTTAACTTGCCGTATGTAGTGATAAAGCCAACTGGGAATAAATATCTAACTATTAAGTATATGAGTAACATCAATACGACCGACAGTAACAATGCAAATGTCGTAATGAACTGATTTAATAAATTGTAAGCTTTATTCAACTCACATTCTGTGGCCACTCTGTCACACAACCCACATTTGGATTTAAAACAGATGCTTCCAACCATTGAATGCTAATGTGGATTCCCATCAAACGCGGAACAATTGTCACCATGACCTACACTCCTCGCCAGGTCAAAGATTAATTTACAGGTGTCACAAACTTTTACTATATCCAACTTGAGAGTAATTTATTTATATGGTTCTTAAATCTTTGTTAAATTCCAGAGAAGGATAGCTTAATCTACCTCTATTAGTTATTTTTTAACAAAACTAAATAAATGCAACGTGTGATATCTAACTCGTTGTTATAATTAAGTACGTAAAATTATATCCTTCAATTTAATTACCGTTATCTGGTAAGATTTATCTTAATACTTAAAAGTCAGTCAAATCTTTAAGTCATATCAGTGAATATTACAAATTAATTTAAATTTCATAATCAAACTCAGTCTGTAAGATAAAAAAAAAAAAAAAAAAAAATAAATAAGCTGAGTGCGATAAAACAACGCAACTTAAACCACAAAATGAGAAAATTAAACACACATGTAAATATATTAGTCAAACAAACATTTCTATTACAAAATCCGAAGCAGTACTGATAGCAGTGAATTAAATTTAGCCGTATAAACACGATTACCAAATTCACACTTGAATTATAACTAAAACACGCTCGCGAGTTTAATGCACTTTGTGTAAAACATTGGTACTGTGTTTCACCACTCAGCCCGGCCGTCGTTTACACCATGCAGACTCCACAAATCTGCCATTTATGAATGATAAACACTAAAGTTTAGACTTTCATTCTAAAATGGAGTTTGTGGAGCAAAAATATATCGTGGAAACATATCGTTAACATTTAAAATATAATTTAAATTGATCACATACATAGAAATAAGTATAGTATTCATATATAGAGAATGAATATGGTTTCAAATACTCTAACTAAAAGAAAAATAACACGCAATGACGTTATTAATTTACCTTAAATACTATAAAGGGTAGATTAAACTAGCATTTTTACATCAGAAGTTGTTTCGTCAACTATTGTTGATAGATTAGTGAATTCTAAGCAGTTTTCTTATACATATATTGTTATAACAATGCATTAGGACCGCACGCGTTATTCCTGTACCTGACTCAACAATAGTTCTGCGAAAGTATATTAATAGAGTCCTCGGTGAGCTGATTGACTTAGAATGCATCTACTCATAACTAGATTCATACCGCGGCTGCACTTGGCATATTCTAAAGAAAAGGTGCATGGATGTATGCATAATGATAGGTGTTTAAATTATGTTGCATGCACGTTGCTAATATAATAAATGTGTATGCTTGTGAGGTTGTAAGGATGGGTAGATGTATAGTTCTTCAAACACATATTTGTCGATCTTTCAGGCAAAAACTACTAAACCAATTTTGATGAAGTAGCTTAATCATTCGACTAAGACATAGGCATGTATTAGGTATTACAAAATTCCGTTTAAATAGCGTACGATCCAGGCGTAATAGTTGTATTATGTATGAAATCATGTGATATTGATTACATATAGATTACTGTGACATATGTTTACAATAAAATAATTTTTATTATTTTTTACATTTCTATGAGCACAATTTCGAAGTCAGTAACAAGTCTATAATAATTTTGTAATGTACCAATAACATACATTAAAATATTTAGATTGTTACTGCAATCCTTTAAACATATTTTGTTCAAGTACCATTCAAGAAGTAATGAGATCTAAGACTTACGCGAGTTTTATTCATTTAAATGAAACTAATATTTTTCGGATATACTTACTACGCGGTTTATTTTTGCAAAAAATGTATTCAAAAAGTTTAAATAATTGTGCAATGAGATACAAGCTTTGAACACGACTTCGTTTTGCAAAATATATCAAGGTTTTATAAATTTTAAACATGTTAAATCCCAATACATATGACAGAAGCTTTTAATCTAATATTAATGTATAGTTATTGTTATATAGCGTGACGTCATAACACATATAGTATATATTCTATATATATTATATAGTTGTTTTAATAAATGGACTTTCATAAAACCAAACTATAGCCATTATATATATTTTTTCATTCCCATTAAATTCTTTCTTTATCAATCAGCTTCTACCAGGACCTAGAAAAACAAATTCCTTATTCTTATATAGGTATAGCAATCATATAATTTTCTGTCCATCCTTTTAATGTCCAGTAAACATACTTCAGGTTTTATCTCAAGCACTTAACTTCAATTCAGTTGACGTTAAATTTATCTTAATCACGTTTAGAATATTGTCAATATAAGTAATATATTAAACTTAGTAAAATTGTGGAATCTTAGCGTTTGATATAGGTCTAAGTCATGATTCAACTTCGCCTTGAATAGAATTAATAAATACTAGATACTTAAATACAATTTACTAGTGAATTGTTCGTTGATCGTTCTTACATTATTTATTGCATATAAACAAAAAAATATAAGGAAATATATTTTTACGTGTGTTTTATCTTCACTAATTATAAGTTTTGTAATTAAATAGACATGATCAAAGTTATAATATATCACATAAATCCATACTCTTAAAGTTCTTCTTCCTGGCAATTTCCCAGCTTTAGCCAGGGTCTGTTATAATTAACTCTTAAAGTTGACTACAATTATTTATGAAGAAGGAATTTAATAGGCGGATTATTAATTAAAATTTGATATTACTTAAAAAATTTAAAGAAATGTAATATGTAGAAATGAAATAGAAAATTGAGAGAGAAAAATTATCGAAACTAACATGAATCGTACGTACAAAATGGGGCTCAGCGATTAAACTCTCGTGCTTTACAGATAACCTAATTGAGAAAGCAATTTTAACTCGATGCACCGGAGATTACAAGTTCGATTCCCGATCCTGTACCTTTAGTCTCAATTCTACATTTCCATATGAATTCAAATACCACTATTAGCTTATTTCTTTACTGTTAATGAACATAACTTTACATCTCAACTAAGCTGGTTTGTATTCAACGTACCAGCGGTACCCATTACCATTACAACGCGAAATTTACACAACAAATACTGTATAATTATCTAAAATAATTTAGTATTGTGTGTGCGAACAAAAATATTGTGATCTAAAAATAAAATGGCGACAATGAACTCGGTAAAAATGTGTTTGTGCACATTATGTTTTAATTATACTATTCTATAGACAGGTTTTTGATTTTATCTATCTGTATTTCAATGCTGTGTTTATTTTATGTTATATCTTCTATATATATAAAAATGAATTGCTGTTCCTTAGTCTCGCTAAAACTCGAGAACAGCTGAACGGATTTATCTTATCTTAGTCTTGAAATGTTCGTGGAGGTTCAGGGAAGGTATAAAAGCTGAAATTTTTTTATTAATTTCCGGGAAAACCCTAAAAACGGAGCTTTTTTATTTCCCATACAAACGGTTTTTTGACATTAGATTTGACAACTAACTAATATGTCAATCATTTTGTCGCACTTCAGGACACGGAGATTTATGGCTTACAGGTAAACTCCAAAAATATAAATAAAAAAACGTAATACATATTTCTTGATTATAGGGCGATACGAAGTTCGCCGGGTCAGCTAGTAGTTTAATATTTTTTATCTGTCCGTCGATGCTGTCAATAGGGATTCCATGTTATCGCCGTGAACTGTGCCCTCGTGTTGTGTAAGAAACTGAATAACTGACACGGATTTATCAACAGATTAAAAATATAATTGACTGACGGATAAATATTATATTAATTGTATATGCTTTTTTATTATTTTTTTAATTTTAGTAAATCATCTAAAAAGCTAAATCAAGACTCGTTTATGTAATGTCAT